CCCACACACCCACACCCCACCCCACTCCCACTACTCCCACACTCCCCACACTCCCACACTCCCACACTCCCACACCCCACACTCCCCACTACACCACTCCCACTCCCCAGAACTCCCACAACTCCCACACACTCCCACACCCCCCACACCCCACACCCCCACACACCCCACACCCCCACACACCCCACCCCCCACACCCCCACACCCCCACACCCACACCCACACCCACACCCACACCCCCACACCCCACCCCCACCCCACACACCCCTACACACACCCCCACACCCCACACTCCCACACTCCCACTACACCCCCACAACCCCCCCACCACCCCCCACACCCCCACACCCCCACACCCCCCACCCCCACACCCCACACCCCCACCCCCCCACCCCCACACCCCCACACCCCACACCCCCACCCCCCACACCCCCACACACCCCACACCCACACCCCCACACCCCCACACCCCCACACCCCCACACCCCCCCACACCCCTCACCCCCACACCCCCCACACCCCCCCACACCCCCTCACACCCCCACACCCCCCTCACACCCCCTCACACCCCCCCACACCCCCACCCCCCCTCACACCCCCCACACTCACACCCCACTCACACTCACACTCACACGCACACCTCACACCAAACACTTTTATTTTTTCCGAACCCCCGCACACCCACGCACACCCCCGCACACCCCCGCACACCCCCGCACACCCCCGCACACCCCCGCACACCCCCGCACACCCCCGCACACCCCCGCACACGCACACGCACACGCACACGCACACGCACACGCACACGCACACGCAGTATCTGGGAGTTTCCGAAAATTAGGGGTACCTTTTATTGGGGTCCTTATAATAAGGATCCTATACTATTTAGGGTACTATATTAGGGTCCCCGATTTTCGGAAACTCCCATCTCAAACTCTGGCAGAACTCAGGCTTCGGTCAGGCCGAGGACAGCGGATTACGGTTACGCTGGGACGCAGCGAGGGAGCACTTCTACGTGGAGAACCTCTTCGTGCAGCTTGGCGGCCTTGGGGTTGGGGATTTTGGGAGATACGGTTGACGATATAAATTTTCTTCCTGCACTACCCATAATAAGGAATATACCAAAATTCCAACAGTTTAGGGTCCTTAAGGTAATGCAGGGTTTGTATCATCAACCGTAGTTTGGTCATGATTGCAACCACTTGTGGGGATGGACACAGTTTGATCGATTAAGACTTAGGTAGCGATGTGGGGCGGGTCCCTCGGCTGATTGTCCATGTAGATTGTATTGTCAACTGCTCATTCGATACTCTGTGCACGTAGATGATTTGATGTGGAATACTTGCGAATCGACAGGGGCCTAGCAAACATGCCGCCTAAACGCAAATTTTAGCCCACAGTTGGCAGGACGCACGCATCGCAACCTCGTGGGAAGACCAATGCCTTGCCTGCTCTCGAGACCCTGAATTAGGTACCAGTGCACCTCGGCGGAAGATGCGCTGAAGTTCTACAATGCTGGAGTCCAGCGTGCCCTTGTCGCCTTTAAAATTTGGATTGCGAGTTTGGGGTTTAGGGGTAAACATGTGGTACCAGCACCGAAATGTCTTGCCGATCGTTGTTCCTCAACTGAAGCAGTGCACGAGGCCAGCTTTATTGAGACTCTGCAGCTTCTGACCGTTCGAAGTTGCTTCAGAGGCCCGAAGTTGAGACGGGGTTAAGTGGTCGCTTAATTTTGGGGTTTTCTGCGACAAGGTTACTGATGCTTCATGCTTCAAAAGGTGCTTATGTCGACGGGCTTTGTTTGTAATAGGTTGGGCCCGGGTAGCAGCGCCGAATCTGAAGCTGAGTTCTGCCACAAGTATGGTTGTGCGGCTTTGCCTGCGGGTTTTCCGAGGCAAGCAGATGGCCTCGACCGCCATGAACATTGCTTCGTCGCGGTCACACACAGTGCCGCTTTGGCCTGATCTGAACTGAAAGTTGTGCCGTCGGTGCATTGCACATGTAAGCCTCTACCTCGCCTCTGCGACGCATCACCCAGCATTGCCCGCGGGCTCGATGAATCAAAAAAACGCCGCGGATTTTTGCGCAGTAAGGCTCATGCTGACGCTTCGTCGACGGCCGCTCGTCGGTTGAAGAAGATCACCAGACCTGACCTGCTGTCAATTTGTAGAAATCCGATGCTCTTTAGTAGCTTCGATGCTTCGATGCTACCTTTCCAGCCGCCAGTCCTAGCGATGGGAGGACGATCGGGCATGCGCCTACTGCAACAGGGATCCCTGTATGACTCCTGAGCATTCCTGACCCTACAGCCTTGATGTGCGCTACATCCTAGACTCCCGCACTCTTACATTGTCTTACCTTCCTTCCAAGGTCTGTCCTAGCAGAAACGAGCGACCTGGGCTCAGGCAGAGACCTTCAAGATACAGTGCCAAGTTGTGAGGTCAGTGCGAGATCTGTAGTGACACGGAACGTCGTTCACAGCTTCGCACCTTGGAGGGATCCTCATTTTTCTACGAAATTGGGTCTGGCAGGCCCCAACATCATGTCATGCAAACGTCGGAGTCTGTCCGAGGGCTAAGTAGATACCCGCAATTTACAGGATCGCATGACGAACAGCTGTCGTTTCCACGTGACTCTGGTTTCGACAGTAACCCGAAAAACGATGCTACTGCTACTGTATCCACAGGGACACCTGCATAGCAAGCGCGGGCTCCAAACTGCATTCACCTCTGAAATGCGAAGAAGGTGAGGCGGTGCGGGAGGTGATGTCGCACCTGGCTCTGGTGGACTTGGCAGGCTGCGAGTGCCGGGCCGTTCGGGTACCGCTAGGGGCTTCAGAGACGTCTCTTCAACCAAGGGCTTCACATCTGCGAGAGAAGGAATCTGGCCCCAAACTTTCAGCCCAGCAGCGAGGCAGAAACCCTAAGCCAACATCTGCGCACCAGCTTCGCAGCCGATTAGCTGTCCTTGGAAGCGTGCCTTCCAAAACCTTTCGTTCCCCAGGACCGTGCTGGGTCTGAGCCCTGTCATAAATCGTGCAAGGCTCTGAGAAAGCTGCAGCAGCCAACGAGGGCAACCCGGAGCGCTTCAAGGCATCACTGTTTTTCTCTGGGTGCGGAAAGAATGGCTGGTGGTAGTCTGGTAGTCGCATGGTGGTCGAACGGAGCCTGACGATGATGGGTGCGGTGAAACTTTAAACAGGAGAGTGGTGAAGATAATGTTCTGGCAACAATAAGCTGTTTCTGACAGTAATGTTATTGATACAATACTTGTCTCAGCTTGCTCGCCCACCCCATCAGGAGGCGGTGAACATCAACCAGTCCCTGTTTGTGCTCCGGCGCGTGATCACCGCCCTCAGTCGCCGGGACAGCAGCCACGAAGAGGACACGCGGCCTGGCGAACGAAGCTCCGGTGATGGGAAATTTTGAGACGTCAGGGTGTAGCATAGGGGCCCAAATGAGTACCAATACCATTTTAGTGGTCCTATTTGATATGGTATAGTGGGCCCAAAAACCCTATTCTAATTCTAATTATTAGGGCCCATATATTGGGTTCAGGGCTCGAACATCGGGGAAACGGTCGCGGCATGTGTAGCCACGAAACATCTTCCAACCCCGAGTCCGAGACTTTGGCGGAGCCTGCAGACTGGCGGTAGTGTCCGATTCAGAGGGCTGCACCATGTTACAGTGCCTGATAGAAAGCCGCTTGCTTTTGAAGCTCAGTCGTGCATCAGATCTCCAAAGAGCAGTTGTTTTAGCTATCGTTTCTGGAGGTTCGGGGTATGAGGGGCTGATACAATTCTAAGGCACATACCATATCGCGAATCGAAGCTGATGCTGGGCTGCAGGATGTTTATGCAGGTATTTTAGGCATGCCGCCCTTTCCAATAGAGAATCCGTAAGTCGAGTCTCCTTCGAGACGTTCTTACTAGCTCGGTAACTCGTGTGTCCTTCAGCCCTGTAAAGGGTGTTCGTTAACGACCAGTGCGTACGGGTGCTCTGTGGATTGTCCAAAGAAAGTCACAACTGATGGGCAGCCTGGCCCCTCTGATAAAGTGGAGCACGCTGCAGACCTGCGTTTTAGGGTCTGACACGGACTGCCGAATCCGTGGTTTTGTGGGATGCTGTGCCATGGGTGTAAGGCACTGGGATCTCAGAGCTACGTTTTGCATGTAGGCACGCTGCTTCGCAGGGTGTGGAGGCGGCTCCAGGACCGTTCGGAAGTTTTTGACCCAAGCCTGCGTGCTAATGCCATATCCAAGGACTTCGCTGCTGCAGCACGCTATTGGTGGCAAAGGCCCCAAAAGAGCTCAAGCCGCAAGCTTCCTCAAGATAGGAATGGGACCATGCTAATCATGACTACCATGAGCTCCTCCTCCTCCTCCTCCTCCTCCTCCTCCTCCTCCGCCTCCTCCTCGTCCTCTTCCTCATCCTCCGCGCTTTCTCTTTCTCCCGGTTGTCCTCCGCACCATCATCATCATCACCAACATCATCATCGCCATCATCACCATCACATGCACCGTCACCATCACCATCATCATCGTCGTCGTAGTCGCGTTGCCCTAGACCTCGTCACATTGGCGGATGGCTCGCAATTCCTCCGCTGGCGTCTCCTATACTGTGATCCGTGATCCCGATCGCTTTCGGTCGCTTTCGGTGGTCTTCGGTGTTGATTGCCGATCTTGTTTGTTCTTGGTTGCTGGGTATTAAGGTGGCGGCGGCATTTGTGGTTGCGGTTAGTACTGCTATTCAGTCAGTCACACTCAGAAACTTAGTTCTTTCGTTGACTAGTCAGTTAGTTAATCAGATGGTCATGCTAACTTACTTATAGTTGTACAGTACTATACATGATTGTCATTATCGCGATTCCGATTGTCAAACCCTTGTTCGTGGTCGCCGTCGTGGCTATTGTTGTTGTGGTGGTGTCGGCGGCGGCGCAGGTGGCTGTGCGGTGCTGGTGGTTGTTGTGGTTTCGACGTAGCTGCCGTCCCGAGGACTACGATGAACAATCATTGCTGTTGTCCTGGATGGTGCTTGTAGCAAAATGTGTGCCGAGTCACGCAGGCTTCATGGTGATGCTCGCCTGCCTGTCGCCGGCAGACCGATCCTACGAGGCTGTTGAGGGAGAATCGTCACCAGAGTCGCTACCGTCCGCGTTCTCGTCATCTTCCTTTGCAAATGGACCTCACCACCACCGAGACGAAAAATCATGCCAGCAGCAGCAGCAGTAGCAATCACCATCACGGCTACGAGACGATGACGAACTCCACAAGCACACGCAGTTCTATCATTGCGTCAACGTCTACTTCTCACCTTAACTGCTGTGATATTGACTCCGTTGCTATTACCAGGCATAGGGACCAAATTAAATTAGCATCCCAGTAGTCTGAAGCTGGTAGGTGAGCCGATATGGGTGGCTAAGCCTAAGCAGTGTTCCCACCTTTCATGGGATCGAGCCGCTTCTTCACCCTTGTCTTGGGGCTCCTCAGCGGGTCGGTGCTGGTGAACAGGAGAATCTCAGCACGCTGCAATACGCCGCGCAGGCGCGCTTCACACGGACATGGGTTATATCCAGCTCCTATGCAAAGAAACCTTGATGTGAAAGATGGGGTGCCAGACTGCCAAAACCTGCTCTGAAGCTCTGAGCCCAGCAGCTATCGAAGCTATTCAATCCGACGCCGAGGCCGCCCTCATCAAAAACGAGCCGACAATCAACCTGGACCCGAAGGAGGGAGTCTTCTATTGCAGGGTTCTGGTCGAGGGACGAATCAATGATGCAGGATCGCCTCATCCAGCAGCTTCAGCAGCAGCTCAGAGAAGCGCACGCCTTCATCCTCGACAAGATGGGCTTGCAGGCAGGATGTCGGGAATGGTGCTCACAGCCACGCGGGTACAGTCGGCACAGCCTTGACGGAATCTTTGCACGCACAACTCTTTCTCTTTGGTTCAATCTCGTCCAGCACCCTCGAATCAAAGTTCTTAGGTGTTTTCCCTGCTAGTGTGGTAAGATACTTACCTTGGGTTAGTAGGGAATGGAGGAATGGAGTACCATTAGAGCTAGTATTATAGCGCCTGACCTCTTTTTAGGAGCTGCCGCCGGAGCTGCAGCGGAATTCTCTCCTGGCACCGCGTCCTCGCCGGGCTCAGGCCCCTTCGTTCTGCACAGGACCTGACCGCAGATGCTATTCCGACTACTAAAGGGGCCGAAATAGCTACCAATACCAGGGGCTCCTTATTATAGTGCAATATAATGGGCCCCCCAAAACCCTCTTCTATCTCGGCCGAAGAGCAATTGCAAGCAATGTCTGAGTCACAAGTGCATACTTTCCGGGACCCCCCAATGGCCCTTTAATGGAGCCCTTTTGGACTATTTAGGACCATAAGGCGTATGGTCCTAAATAGTGGGTACCTTGGGCATATTACGTTGTAGAGGGGAGTTGCGGTAGTCATTAGCATTGTCAGAAGATCTGCCCCTCCATGAGCTACGAGCCACTCAGCGAACTTTGCAGGCTCGCTCCATGAGTGCAGGACCTCTTTCCAAAGCGAAAGAGGCATGGCCGATGGTGTGGTTTGCGGGCTCCAGATTCGGGGGGGGGGCAATAGGAGAAGTCCAAAACTGGATCCGGTGCCTCGGGTCTGCGTATGTCGACTTCCTTGCGCGTTCAAGACACGAGAACTCAGTTCGGAGTATTATCTTGGGTCCCTGAACTCTCGGCACCAGTTATCATGCTCTGCCAATGGCATGACGAGAATTGTCCGTAGATGCTTATGTTGATGTCCTGTGTTGTCGTATTTCACATGACCCCCACGCAATACTGTAGTGACTAAGACTCAAAGTGTGATTGCTGCGTGAAATTGAGAATGTGGTCTTTCCGGCAGGCTTTTCTCATCTTTTCTTGGCACATGTGGTGTCAGTGGCTGGAGCCTGCAATAAAATCAAACCCGTGCACCATCAGAGTGAGTATGTTTTCCTCCATCGCCGCTTTATCGATCATTTGCTCCGTTACCCAGTGATCATACCCCAGGGCATCCCATGGTGCATCATCGCTTGGCAGTTATCATATATTATGGCAGTTATCATATTGCAGAAATGGTCCTGTGGTGTTCCGGAACCTTCGGCCCAGACACTTTCAATTCCTGCACCTGATGGCCGAAAGGTGACCTCCGGTGCTCCTTCGAGCGCCCCCGAATCCAGGAGGCAGCGGCAGCCAATGCTGCGCAGAGTGTTTGCACTCTTGTGGACCGAAGTCCGAAGCATCGGAGCTCGTCTCATGCAAATTCATGTTCGTCCTGAGATGCCAACCCTCAAGGCCCAAAGCGGCAAGGAAACTTGTGCATGATCTGTGGACGATCAGCTCCGAAACCCTACACCCTAAACTTGGGAACGACCGGGCTTCTGATCTCAGTGTCTCAGGGAAGCGCAGCCAACGCCATGGCCGATCCGTCCGATGGGACAATGAGGAGGAGCGTCGCGCAGCCTGCAGAGGACGGTCCGGACAAGGCCAAGCGCACTGTGAGCGTTCACTGCCTGTCAGGTTCCTGCTTTGAGCTGGAGGTCAATTCTGCTGAAACGGGGTGGGAAGTAACGGAGGGCATCGCAGCCGGAGTTGGCCACCCGGCAGGTTTACTTGTTCTGACATCCGGTGGTTGTGTCATCGATCAGAGCCAGCTGCTGCTGCTGCTGCTGCGTCAAGTCCAGCACGACGAAATCTGCGACGTTGTGCGGAAGCTTGGCGCGGGTCATGTCGCGATGCTTTGGGAGCACCTACTCGAAGAGAAGACTCTGAAGACTCTATCTGATGTAACTGCCGTGAACGAAACGGTGTCACTCACGTGGTATTCCAACCAAGCCCTCAACCAAGGCATCCAACTACCCAACAGCCTGCAGAGGTTGACTTTTGGGTTTGAGTTCAACTAGAGGCTGGAGGGCATCCAACTACCCAGCAGACTGCAGAACTTGACGTTTGGATATGATTTCAACCAGAGCCTGGAGGGCGTCCAACTACCCAGCAGCCTGCAGAGTTTGACGTTTGGTGGCTCATTCCACCATAGGCTGGAGGCCATCCACCTATCCAGCAGCCTGCAGAGTTTGATGTTTGGTGGCTCATTCAACCACAGCCTGGAAGGGCATCCAACTATCCAGCAGCCTGCAGAATTTGACGTTTGGATAATATCCAAACGTCAAATTCTGCAGGCCTGGGTAGCCCTCCAGAAATCATATTATGATTTCAACCAGATCCTGGAGGGCATCCACTACCCAGCAGCCTGCAGAATTTGACGTCTGGATAATGTCCAAATGTCAGATTCTGCAGGCTGCTGGGTAGCCCATTGTAGCCCTCCAGGCTCTGGTTGAAATCGTAAGCTGGAGGGCATCCAACTACCCAGCAGCCTGCAGAATTTGACGTTTGGTGGCTCATTCAACCAGAGGCTGGAGGGCATCCACCTATCCAGCAGCCTGCAGAGATTGATGTTTGGTGGCTCATTCAACCAGAGCCTGGAAGGGCATCCAAGTACCCAGCAGTCTGCAGAGTTTAACGTTTGGTCGCTCATTTAACCAGACCCTGGAGGACATCCAATCACCCAGCAGTCTGCGACTTTTCACTTCAAGGAATTGTCGTGTGACCACCTGGTGAACAGTGATGTGCTGGTTTGGCGTCCTCTTCATTCGACGAGACTGCTGGTAGTGGTCTGCTGTCGTCGTGCGCACTGCTTGCGCGGGTTTTTATTCCACGAGCTCAAAGAGACACGGTTTTTCCTTTCTCGGTCTTACGAGAACAAACAGCGAGCGCTGGACGCCCTCAGCAGAGAAAAAGCTACTGCAGCTCCATAAGCTCTGAATCTGAAAGCCCAAACTCAAAGCCTTCTGAGTCCCAGCAAAGCCCCACACCTTGAATCCTTAGCCCCTAAACTTAGAGATGGGTTTGGGGGTTTCAAGGTTGATAGCTCCAAAGCAGGAGCTTGTGGTTGTGTGGCGTGTAAAGCACATACCACCAAGCAAGCATCATAAGTGTTTTTCGGAACGGCTTATTCGAGATGTGCAAAATTGCTCTGCAATTGGCGCCACACCGGTGTGTAGGTTGAGCCTCTTAATCTGGGTTCTTGTGCAGCGGATCTTACAAGCAGAAAAGGCTGTAAATACCGATGACTTCAAGACTCTCCAAAGAACGTCTTAAGGTATGCTACATGAGCTCGACAGATCCCATATGCAGCTCTGAACCTTCGGCCCGTAAGACTTTGGACTGTCTACCCAAAGCAAGCCTGGCCAACACCGTTGTTGGTAACACTGTTCGAGAACACCAATGTAGAGATTCAGCCTAGTTAGCTGTCGAACTGCATTGGCATAGGGTTAGCGAAATGTGCGTGCCTGTAAAGGCCCTTCTTTTTGCACGCTGAAGCAAAGTAAAGATGTGAGCGGGTTCAGCCTATGTATCTGTATATAAGATTACCAAGTACAAACTGTAAGCGATGAAGATCAGACTCTTGTCCTAGACCGGAATCCTACTTCGTTGATGCTTATGCGATTCTGGCTTCTGCCGATACCATGGCTCATAAGGTACCCGGTACCCCTTCGAAACAGCCAGTATTTGGATCAGCATCATTTGGATTTATGAAAATGCTCCATTGGATACCGGGTCAGTTCCAAGCCATAATGGATCGTCCTCCGACAGTTCCTCAAATCGGTATGGTCCATGCCATTGCACGCTCTCCATCCCTACACATAGCCTTACAAGAGATTTTGTTTACTTGAAGTACTATTCACAAACATCTTGCGGTTTCACCCGAGGAGCCTGGACGTATCAGCCGCACACTGCTGCAGGGCATTTATCTCCCTATACACAAAAGAGAAACACACGGGCCCGTTTCCTGTTATGCTTAAGCAACCCATATGTTTACAAACAGCCCGCAAGTTTATAAACAAGGCCCGGTATTTATAAACAACACGTGTACGTGTTCACAAAAGGACTAGCAGAAATCACCGCAAATACCAGTGTTTTCATGAATTAAATTTATCCAACCAGGTCTTAGGGTACATCACATTAACTCCACAGTTTCCTCCATTACGAAAAGGTTTTGTGACCAGCACTTAAGACTTGAGTGTTGCTGTCTATTGGGAATGGCTGCGCGCGTTTCGGGTGGATGGTGGATTGGTGGGCGGCTGTACGTTGTGGTGAAAGTGCTGGTGGTGGGGGGCAGGTCTTGGGTGTTAGCCCCATGATACTGATACCGAGACCTGTCGCCCCCCCCCCCCCTCCCCCCACCTCGAGCGAACCTTTTGTTTATAGGCAGCGCCTGTGTTTATAAAAAGCCCTCGCATCAGCAACACACCAACACACCATGACAAGAATCCATGACAAGAATCCTTGACGTGTCAGGGCGATGCAGACATCAACCAATTCAACAGAAGATGCGTGAACAGAAGGTTAAGAGCAGCAAGTAAGCTGACGAGCCCGACCCAAAGGCTTACGTAGCTTCAAAAGCTCCTTATGCACAAACGCAGGCCCCAGGATCGACCCTTCTGTAAACTTAACATCTGATGACTCCACATCCCCAAACCTTCAACCTGAATGCCGTAATATGGAAAAGGCGCAGCGAGAGGAGCCTCGAGAGGGGGAAGGCGTCGTTCCGCCGCAGCTTCTGCCTTTAATATAGCTATTATATACCCATTATATAGCCCTTTATAGTGTACGGGTCCCCATTAAGGGTCCCTCCTTTTCCCCTTTGGTTTTATTCTGCCTGTTTCGAGGATTGAGGCAGTTGAAAAGGGCTGGAGAATGGAGGCCTGCAAGGTTCACTCCCGAGAAGTGATTGCAGGTTGCCGAAGCAGTGACTCAGAAAGGGGGGTCGGGGCATAGAAGTGTAAAAGGAACCACTGCTTCACGACGGTTCCACCTACGTCCGGCGCTGCGAGCTTCCTCGCACAGACCCGTGCTCGCAGCCTACGGGAGCCCGAACCTCAATTCAGGTCCATGCAAAAACTCATTTAATTGCTGTTGCAGTGACAGGCGGAAGATCCGCCTAAATTTGGCAGCGAAGGCCAAGTCACGGACAGACATGTGGGCCGGTTGGGCGTTGACGTTGTGGCTGGACGGCTGGTAAGTAGCTATTACAAACCGTCTTCGTATCGTTTTCCACTCCTCTGGCCGTTGTCACGATGATCACGATGTTGAGCAGTCATTCATTACTAATCATATTGTGTGCGTGCTGTGGTTGCGATTGCAGTTGTGTGGTGGTGGTGGTGGTGGTGGTGGTGGTGGTGGTGGTGGTGGTGGTGGTGGTGGTGGTGGCGGTGGTGGTGGTGGCGGTGGTGGTGGTGGTAGCAGCAGCAGGAGGCGGAGTAGTAGCGGCTGCTGCTGCTGCTGCTGCTGCTGCTGCTGCTGCCGTTGTTGCCGTCGTCTTGCCGGCTGTTGCGGGCCGCTGCTTGGTACCGCTGTGCCATGCGATGTGGTTGTGACTCTGTTCGTGGTGGTTGCAGGGCAGGCCTGTCCTGGAAGACCTTGGTCCCGAAGATCTCGGAAGTCAAGTGGGCCGAGACCATCATAGAACTCCAAACAAACCGCTGACTCGGGAACGCAGACATCTGTGAAGGGGCGTATTGAGTTCTCGAAAGAGCGAGACTCCCTGCGCAGGCGAGAAGCGCCACAGGCTGCCACCAATCCCCTCGCAGCGCAGCGCTGGTGCGGACCTGGCAATGCACCCCGGGGAGTGTAGAGAAATTGGCACGGGATGGATTTGACGGTTTTGTGTCTGTGGGATTGACCATTTGGTGGGAGATCGAGTTGTCGGAGCCAACTGAAGATATTCGGGTCCTGGTGTTCTAGCAAACAGGGAAGGTTGACTTGACAGGGTTGTGGCAATCTTCTCACCCCGCCGATGTTGAGCTAGCCATTAAAGTGGAAGTAGATCCACCTGTAGATCGGCCATTTTGGACACCTCTGCTTGCGGCGAGCCGAGGTACCGGTTGGCCTCACCATCGCAAAGCCGAGGGTCCAGGCAAGGGTGTGACTCGTTCAGCATGACTTCCTGCAAAGCCTACATGGCTGCCTCTTATAGCTCTGGGCTCGTCTAGGCAAGCATGGCGCCTCCAGGCATGCCAACATACCCGAGCGGCCGTGTGCCATGTTGCGTCAGCACGAATGCTCCCAAGTCTACGAGGAAGGGTCGCACACATGCCCAGTAACAGCTGCACATGGAGTTCGAGAACACATCATCCTTCCTCTGGGTCCCACGTCCAAATCTTCACTTCGACTTGCTAGATTGCCGGCAGGATGAAGCACGTCAGCGTGGAGAGTCACGACGTCGCTGACAGTCCCGTGAGGCGCACGCGGGCCTGTGTGTCATCAGCCCAGAGCACTAGCCGCTAGCCCATAGTACTAGTCGCCGTGTGCGTAAGAAAGAGGGTGTCACAGAGAGTGGGGCCACCTAATCGAAGCATGTTTTATGGCTTGTATGGTTTGCAATGCGACGAATGATGGCCCGAACTGAACGAGCGGAAAAGTTATATGCATGGTGTAACATAGTCAGCGTGCGTGTAGCGTAGGGTAGTTCTCTTCTCAAGTCATGTGTGGATGCATGATGTATGCATGCTCTCGCGAGGTCTGCATCTGCCGCAGACAATCCTCGACCACAGGCAGCCACGCTTCGCTGTCCCTGGTGAAAGAAGCTGTTCACATGGCCACCACTACCACTACTACTAGTACTGCTACTACTAGTACTGCTACTACTACTACTACTACTACTACTACTACTACTACTACTACTACCACCGCCACTACCACTACCGACTGCCGACTACCTACTACCTACTGCCTACTGCCTGCTGCCTGCTGCCTGCTTTTGCGACTGCTGCTACTGCTGCTATCGCTTGTTTGGAAACGAAGCACACTGTTCGGGACCAACCCTCCACCCCTCCAAGCGGTGCAAGTGGTTTTTGAGCAAGCTTGGTAGGCAATCTTGCTCCCCCCACCAAATCAGCTGACCAATATTAGCAAGATTTTTGCACGGTCTTGGTCGAACATCGCACCTCTTTACCCAACACACTGTACTGTACTGTACTGTACGACTAGCTACTACTACTACTACTACTACTACTACCACTACTACTACTACTACTACTACTACTACTACTACTACTACTACTACTACTACTACTACTCCTGCTACTACTACTACTACTACTACTACTACTACTACGACGACCACGACGACTACGACTACGACTACCACTACGACTACGACAACGACAACGACAACGACAACGACGACGACTACTACCATCACCACCACCACCACCACCACCACCACCACCACCACCACCACCACCACCACCACCACCACCACCACCACCACCACCACCACCACCACCACCACCACCACCACCACCACCACCACCACCACCACCACCACTACAGCCACTAGCAAGACTACCACTAGCACGACTATGGCCATGAGCGCGACCACCACGACTGCCGCTGCCCCTGCTACTGGTACTGACTGTCACAACCACCTTGAACTCTGCACCCAGGGCGACTGCTGAGCTTGGAAACAAGCTATGAGCCCGATGAGCCGGATGGCCCCATCCCGATCCCCTTCAAAGCTCCAGGGCAGTGGCTCTAAGCCCCGATGCTGAAACGAGCATCCGGTCGTATGAGCTGGTGAGGGTTCTTGGGAATAGGGTTGTTTTGGGGTGCTTTCGTCAGTCAACAAAACCTGAGCCCGAACCCAAACAGCCCAAAAGGTGTACTATAGGGGCCTAAATACCAATGAAATGCATGGGGTTCCTTAATATACTTATAGCATCATAGGCCGCAAGGGCCCTTGTTCCAGGCCCTAAATCTCTGGGAAGCCCATGGAGGTGCGCAGCCGTGGTCTGCCGCGGACCTGCAGCTGGGATTCGAGGCCCAGTCCCCGGCTTCTAGGTTCAAGTAGGGCCCCAAAAAAGCACAGAGGCAAAAATTAGGCTAGGGATGTCCCATATAACCCCCCTTAAAAAGGAAGCCCGATAAGGCAGGGATATCCCCATCAAATGCTTATGCTTATGTGCTGTTTGGGTCCCTAAGCAAGGGGGTTTAGTCCATTGTAGTCTATAGGGGCATAAATAGTTACCAAGACCATTATAGGGTTCCGTATTTTAAGTATACTGCCCCAAAGCCCTGGTCTAATTTCAAATCTCTATATTAGGACAGCTTGGAGCAAAAGGTTTACAGCTCGGTTGGAGAGGTTTCCGAGCCCTTCTATGGGTCTTCCTCGAGTCCTATATAACTTTAGGGATTAGGTTGTTTAGGGTTTTTTGTGTTTTGTGTTGCTTGAGGGTGGGGCGCAAATAGGGTTGCAAGCAGATGGCTATTGGGGTTTCATCTTCTGTTCAAGAATTTATATTCCCATGGCCTTCAGGGTGTTGCTCACGTGGCCGAAATAGTTTAGAATTTGTCTTCCATTGGGCTTGTAAGGCCTCTTGAGTTTCTAGAGCTATCGGCTGTGAAGCCCGGTAGGATCCGGTAGCCCTTTTTCGTAGTTATGGTTTTATGTTCTGTCGTTTCGGATATTCAGGGTGCAGCGTGATGCTTTTGATCCAGAAAGGTTTGGTTCGGTTGGGGACCCCTAAACCCTCCCCTAAATTTGCTTGGCCCTTCACACGTGACTTGCTCGGGTGCTTGGGAGCAGTGGGAGGCGCCGCCAAGGCAGAGGCTACATCCCAAGGTGTTTGTCCCTCATGTCATAGCCTCATGGCAACAAGTCGTGTTAAACATGGCACTTAGGGGTCTCAGCTGCAGGACTTAACCGAAAGCCCGAGACTGTCAGGCAGTGTCACAATACTGGAGTTGAGTTTCGAAGGCTTCGTTGACGGCACGGCTTCCGATTCTGTTCCGGTCCTTCAGATTCATATGGCTGAACCTACAAATCAGCCAGCTTTAGGAACTCTAGCCCTAAACCCTAGACGACTTCCTGGAGCTGGTTGGACCTGGCCCTGCACCAGGAAGGGCAAAGATCTGGAGTCGCAGCTCAAGGTGCCCGTCCTGCCCATCAGAAGTCCTGGGTGGAAGGCAAACCCTGGTAAAGAAGGATCCCAAACCCTTACCTCTGTCAATAGTAAGCCATCTTCAATATTGGGTTGTACTGCACTGTACTGTACTATCGTACTGTGTAGTGCAGTGTAGTATAGTATAGCACAGCATGGCGAAGCATAGTATGGTATACATGCGAGCGGTAGAAGTCGAAACGGACTCTTTGAGCGACAGATAGTCTAGTCTTTGAATATCTTCTCTGCAGTTGAGAAGCACTCGCTACTCATGCCATCTCGAGACGCGGGCATAGGAACTGTTGATGCCCATTTCGCAAGTCTGAATTGCACTGGTGGACTGGAATGAGAATGAATGAGAAGCCGCGGGCTCAAGAATCGGTTCAAGATGAGTCAAGACGAGCGTGATGAGGTTTTCACTCAAGAGCTCATCAATCTCGTCTTGATTCATCTGTGCCGTGCGGGATGGCGAGCTAGCCGAGGCTAAAGCAGCTTTGGACAAGAGCGACATGTCTTGGCTACACAGCAGCTTGCGGCAAAACATGCTTTTTTTGTGGCAGCACGTCGCCGCCGCGGGTGCGAGATGCTGGCTAAAGACTTGCATCCTTGCTCAGATCGATTCTCAGCGTCAGACACCGTTGTTCTGGGGCCAGCAGCCCGGAGAAACCTGGTGATGGCAAAAGTCTGCTTAAACCTGGGCATGGAGATCAACTTTAGAGACAACTGCAGGAAATCCGCCTCGTTCTTCGTTGTCTCTAGAATGTGTAAGCTGTGAGCTAGATGGTTGAACAGGGAGCCTCGCTGGACATGCAGGCCGCTGGCAAAACGAGACCTGACGGCTTTGGGGACGCCAGCATGCTTAACCAAAGCACATCGAAGCAGACCGCCCCCACCAGAGCAAGGGACTTGGTGGTCTGTTGATTCAGGCTGCGGAGAAGCGTGCTCATAAACTCTCTTCGGGCTGGTCATCTTTGACAAGCCCGGCCATCTTTGACCAGCCCGAAGAAAGCTTATGAGCACGCTTGACAGCAATGAGCCTGCCAAGCGGTGTTACGACAGGGTTTCAAGGTCGCCTTTTCGACTCGTCAAGGTTTCCACCCTGGCCCTGCGGATGCAATGACATGAGTTCTTGCGTCCACACGGTGGAAACTTTGACAGGGTCGAAAGGCGACCTTGAAACCAGTTTTGGCTCATGCAGCCATCAGAACTCAAATGGTTGCAGATGTAGAAATCTGTCAAGTGAACGGACGTTTCAAAGTTTCACCCTGGCAAGGCAGGACCTGCAAAATGAAGCTAGTTTTCGTTGTGGTCGCACAGGATTTCTTCATGTTCAGGAACCTGAGGGGCAGCAATGCGTGCTTATTAAAGAACCATGTCGCTTCGGGTCTTTTTGTTCTAGTGGCAGTAGCTCAGGTCGGAGATCGTCGGTTTTTGGATAGGATGTGGGGGTTCTGCTTTATGGATGTTTGAGGACTAGGACTACCGGGTGCGTGCATCCAGTTTCGGCTGTATCGTTAGTCGTACGGCTACGGTCTTGCAGTTGCGACTAGGGTTGATGTTGGCAGCAGCGTGGCTACTTGATTTCTCGTACGTTCATGCCATGGTCGTCATGGCCATCATCAAAGCAATGTAGGCCTCTGAACATTTCGAAAGGTTGTTTGCAGCCGGGTACGCACCGGGGCAGTCATCCCTGCTCCCTCCTAACTCTCCAAACGCAGAGCCGCGAGCAGAAATTGTCTGCCCGTGGATGGGACTTACTTTCGTAGAATCATGAAGATGATGATGATGACGATAATGATGACCGCGGCCTGCCATGGCGACGATGTTGATGTTAAACTAGTATCACTAACTTTATCATGTGTTTATCGGTTTGCTGACTCCTACTCTGCTGCGACGGCGACTACAAGTAGCTAGCTAAGACGGCGACCGCGACGAGGAAGGCTATCACTCCCACTGTCACTACGCATTAGTTCGATAGCAGTTGCGGGCCGTTGCAGGAAGCGGAGGCCGCCACTCAAGCTTTGGAGGTACGAGGGGGTCGGCGGTGTGGGGCTCTACTGGCTACAGGATTTCGGTTCCTCCTGTTGAGGAGCATTCCAAGATCTCTTTTGCTGGCAGCATGCTTGCTTAGTTCGTGCTGAGAGTTTGGCAGCTTTGTAGCATGTCTTGGTGGTACCGGTCTTGGAACCGGATTCCGGGTTCCCGTGTGTGGGGCATGCCGAATCAATGCCGAGCCAGGTGCAGAAGACTCAGTCGTTGAAATTCGGTGCAAGGCGAAGAATACCATTTTCAGGGATGCAAGTGCGATGGTCACATGCATGCAGGAAGAAGCACAAATTCTACAAAACAAAGCGCAACATCCAGGTCTCACATCCCGTGACGCGATTGGGGGGAGACTGCTCCGAGCCCTTGAGGCCAAGCTGCGTGATGCCCTTCGCCGCAAAGCAGAGAAGGCAGAGAAGGCCGGCCTCTGGTGGAAGATTTTGCTTGGGAGAACTGGGAGGCTTGATGCTGTGGAAGGTGAAAGTTTCTCGAAAGCCCGTGGGTTCTAGATTCCGGGAGGTACGGGATTCAATTCTGTTGTGCAGGGGTGTTTAGTAGCTAGGGTTCAGATGCATTAAGCAGAGGGGACTGTTAACAGGTGTCTGTGGTGCAACATGTGTTGCTGTACTGTGTCCAGTTGTGCAATGTCTTGATGCTGGTCGGAACGAAGGTAGGTTGTCTGGCGAAGCTGGCATTGTTGACGTCCGCGCATCAAAACTGTTCGGCATGACAGCGATGGCCCAAAGCGGGTCTCTGCCGAGGTTCAACTTCGAGGGCCTGTCAAATCAGCCAGGTCAGCTTCTCTTTCTTGTCCTTTCAACAGCAGCAGAGCATTTTGCCGCAGCTGTTGCCGTCCCTCTTATTGAGGAACCTGGCGCACAGGTCCAAAATGATCCCAGCTACTTGAGCCCCCGGCAATTAGATGGAGCCCAGAACCCGATCTCGAATTGCACTAACCTCCGAGCAGCCGCAGCCCTGAAGTTGTTCTCCATGTGGGCGCAGGGTAGTACTGTCTCTAAAACTCCGCAAATGACTGGGAAGCCTCGAAGCATCCACAAGTTGATCAAAGTAGGCGGCATCCGCTTGTAGCAAGCACCTGTTACGCGGAGTTGTCCTGTTGAAAGTCTGTCCCAAGGCGGCGCAGCTGCTGCGGCCGCCCGAGGCCGCTGAGACCACGGAGGACACCCGGGAGGCCTCCCCGAAGGCGCCGGCAACTCGGCTTAACATATGGGGCCTGAATTACCGATACTAGTTTTGGGCAATTTTTTGGGGTTCCTTGTTATAACTATAGTAACTATAGTATAAGTGGCCCCAAAGGCTATTCTAATTGTTAAGGCCCCTATAGTAGGGAGGTTCTCCCTTTCATTCCTTTCTAGTTACTAGATCTTGCGTGCAGATAGCCAGATTCCCCAGGCCCTGGCAGGGCGAGTGCGGTGCACTTCCTGTAATTTGGAATGCCAATCATGCGGAGGTCGTTGAAGACCGCCTCCATCCAGAGCGACAGCTCTCCGAGTCAGACTCCATGCCCCCGCCCTGCATTCAAGATTCAAGGGTACAGACTTGGAAGGTTGTGCTGGGCAGTTTGCCAAGACTGACCCTGATGATAAATCGTGTGCCGGCATCGGCATTGCCATAATCCCGCAAACCCTAAACCCACGCAGTTCTGCACTCCCTCGTGTCAGGCTTCTGTTTGTCGTCATCCGAGCAGGCCCTAGGTAGCGATTGGTCACTAGGTAGCGATTGGTCGAACTGCTATACGTGCCTGAATAGTTACTTATACTTTTTTGGGACTTCCTTATTTATAATTATAGTACAATATACCCCCCCAAAGCCTATTCTAATTATTACGGCCCCTATATTAGCATCCCGGTCCCCCGAGGATGCCAAAGTATCTGCCGGCAAACCCTTTGGGAGATGAAGCCTTGGCCAAGTGGGCGCAGCATGTCCTGCACGAAAAGGAAAAAGCGACCCCGGCGAGGTCTCTAAGGAGGTCTTAAACCCAATAAAGGTACTTATAAAGTGACTTACTAAGTCTCATGATCCTCCAAGTAGGGTCCTACCTGCAGGGTTAGGTGCTTCGGTTAGGGGTCTGATCCCTTTCGGATTCCGTGGGTCACTGATGCCTCCCCTTCTTCTTCAGGGTCTTAAACCGGCAGGCAAATTTCAGCATCCTTAGTGGAGAGCTTTTGTGTCGGTCGCAGGGTTTCTCAAGCGCGCGTAGAAGGAGAGCCGTTAGGACTAAAGTCTTCAGTAACCCTTTCTGTTCTGGGGGCTCTTCCAACACTCCGAAGGTCCAGATGTATCCAGCGAGATTAGGATGATTGGAACTTGCTAGGTATGCATAGCTTCACGCAGAAGATCGTTTATGCTACGCATACATGACCATACCTGCCTGCGCACACACACACATAAACGCTTTATCACGCTTTCATGTTTCACAAAAAGGGAATATGGAAACTGTCGTACACCATCCTCTGCACATACGTACATATATATATATATATACACACACATAGTAGGTATACATACAGTCACCTATCTGTGTATCAACCACGTTTGCCAATAAGGCCCTTCCGTGCCAGAGCCAAAGTGAAGAGTTCCGTCCCTCACCCTACCCCGCCTGACACGCCCGAAAGCAGCGCAGCAGTACCGTTAAGTGTACGACTACCTGAAGATATCTCTGGCGACGCCTGGCATGAGTCTTCACAGGGTCCTAGGTCTCTGATCGTGTGTTTGTCTATGTATGCATATACATATGCATATATATATATATGTATACATATATATGTACATATATATACCTTCATGAAGTACACATGTGTGTATGTATGTATGTATGTATGTACATATAGACATATACATACACAGAAACGTTATGTTCATGTATGTGCATAAGCACATGCACAGCCAAACAGCAACTGGATGTGTTTATCTACACATCTGGTAGTCGTATGTGCATACATACGTGCGCAATAAAAACTTTCTATGTGTGCCTCTTTGTGGGTTCCAGAAGTCCGGCATGCTCGTGGACATGCAGGTGGTAACGATGTACTGCTGGTGCTACACCTACCTCTGGAGCGGAGCTCGGTGTTTGGGGTAGGACTTAGCTTGAGGGTCGATGGTTTTCTGTAAGGGTCCAGTGACTTTGGTGAACTTTAGTGTCTACATTCTATGCACGGCAGTCGAAAGTCAAGCGACGGGAGCTTGTGATTTTTGCCAGTTTGTACATAGTCTTACATCATACGATCGCAAGACGACAACCCCAGACCAAGGAGCATAGCGGTAGCATCGAAGGGCTTCATGGTTCATCTTCGCCGGGCTGCATGAGACCAACGATTGAGATCTTGAGCCCTAAACCCCAAAGCGTTGGCCCGAGCCCTCGCCTTGATTGACACTACTTGGAACCGAAGGATGTCGCAACGTACCTCAGTTTTAGGTTGTCGCACCTCAAGGCTGAAGCGGAATTGGCTAGGCCTTCATGTTTTCAAAGCATCAGCCCGACCCCCTAAACCCGCAACTCCATACCTGAATCCATGCTTCCGAGGGCGAAGCCGCTAGATGCCTCGAAGCTTGATGAGCTTCTGGAGCTGGCCCGCTGCCAGGAATGCCTGTAAGTTTAAGACTTAGCCCTCTTCAGGGTTCAGGGTTGAGGGATGTAGGTAGTAAGAGTTCAGGTTTGGGACTCTGTATCCGTCACGGCAGCAGCTATCATAGTTAGCATGAGAATAGTAAAAGCGACAAGGAAAACTAAGGATGGTATGAATGATAATAGTGGAAGATTGGCCATGTTCAAAGCTAGTTTAAAGTAATCGACGATTGAATGCTGACAGCTTTAGCGTTTCGTTGCGACTATGGGCTCAGCAGCAATCATAGCCTGCGTCCGAGGTGTCGGCTTTCTGGCTAAGGTTTTCTAGGTTTGCAGTCCTTGGTCTGAGATGACAGAAGGTCCTCTCTACAGCGCAGGGGTTTATCAAGTTACTTGCATGAAGGGGTTCGGACTCCGGACGGTTCCAGCGCGCTACCAAGGCGCACCCGGACCAATCATGAATCATGCATGAGGGACTGGAAACCTCGAGAGCCCGAGCCCGAAAGTCCTGCGAAACGAAACAGGGCCTGGTACATGGCCAAGTGCCGAATCCGCAACTCAAGTCCGAAATCTTCTTATCCCGAAGCCCCAGCCCTTCAACTCTTCAACCCTGGGTTTCGTGAAAAGGTCGAGCAGCTCCTTGAGCTTTCGTTCCAGTCCATGGAGCTGCAAGGCATTTGAGATGTATGTAGGGTAGGTATGTAGCTAAGTATGTGGGTTCGTAGGTATGTATGATTATACGTATGCTGCACATGTGCGTGTCTGTCTGTGTATATCGATTGCTTGGTGTTGCCCTGAAGAAGGTTTAAGGTTCAAGAGTTTGAGTGTGGGTTTGATGGCTGTCTCTTGGTTGATAGCCAGAGATCGCTTGAGTCGTCGGACTCGCACTTCGAGGATCCAAGCTTGAATAAGGTTGCAAGGGGCCAGGACAGATTGTATTGCACGTTGCATTGAGCGACAAGCGCCGCTCGTTGCTAAGAGCATGGGCGCGGAGTGCTAAGGGTGGGGTCCAGCTGGGCCTTCTTGTAGCTGGACGCGTAGGCTGCTGTCCGGCTCGGCAATGCCAGCTTGCACTGCCGAGACCCCGACTACCCGACCTTAAGTTTAACTCGGTGCATTTGTCGTTGGAGGCGTGGTGGCTGACAACTTGACCAACCCAAATGCAACGTCGAGGTGGGGAGGGCTGCCGACGCAGTGGACAAAGTTTGGACTCTTGTCCCATTCGCCACCTTGAGCAGACAGAATCGCATTCGAAGCCGCTGCAGCTGCTCACGGCACAGAGCAACAATGCAGGAAGTCTGAAGGATTTCGTACTTACTACCATCCACCAATCACTACCATCCACCAATCACAGTTAACGTCCGGGAGCAAGCTGCTTCAAATCTGAGAGATGCAGTCATGGAAGGCAAAAGCTGGCGATGCTGTCAGTCCTCGCACGCTCCTCGCACTTCCCGCCGGAGTTCAAGGCATCCGGCTCGCAAACTCGCGAAAAAGTCCGCAGCGCCAAACTGGCAAACATTATTCCGAGAAAGGACTCCACCTTGAGGCTTGGAGGGCCTTCACCTCTACTGTACACCGAAACATCTCCGAATCTCAGTAGCACCCGAAGATTAGTAGCCGCAAGCAATTCGAAAAGAAAACCTTCAATCACCCTTTTCATGCGAAACCCATAAGCCCACAGCGTGCAGGAGGTTTGCGCCGAGGTTTGCTCCAAGCCGCGAGCTTACAGCCCATCCTTCAGAAAGACGAAGGGCTGCTGAAACTTGTCGGGAATCGGAATCGGGAGGGGCTTAGAGGTTGAGGTGTTGCCTTGCAGGAGCTCGGCTGTTAAGTGCCTAAGTCACAACCCACACCTACGATGGTCACCAGATTCTCCGGCAAGCCTTATGGACTCCCTGCTTACGGCAGACGAGCAAGCTTTTCCCCGAGCTTGCGTGTACTGTGTTTGGAAGGTTTGAGCTTTTTTGTGCTTGCTTAAAAAGTTTGACTGCGAGGCAGGTGGTGGACAGGGGGTTACTTGAGATTGAAGCCTTGACAAGGTTGTGAGATGTCGTTGGTGGTTGTATGAACTTGTATATTCTCTGTGTCCCTATGTACAGTCATGTTTTCCCCCTACACATATTCGATGACAGCCACTTTTCCAACTCTGTTGTTGGCAGCTGGAAACCTACGGTTTGACGAGATTTCGGGATTCCGCCGGACACATGCAGGCAAGGCGTAGAACAAGTCGAACTCCTCAGATGCCATGTGGCCCCAAAATAAACTCCCAATCCACAATATCCACGCAATCGGTCGAATCCCAGGCTGTCAGACATTTTATTTCAACGAGGTACAAGGATGTGGATGCAGAACGGGAGTGACAGGTTGTGCTATGACTCGCACTCGACCTATTCACCCATCACAATCAGACTGACAATCTTCAAGTACAGGTCCAGCGATGCCGCTCTGTCCGCCCTTTCCTCCAGCGATCTGGTCAACACGTGCTCTCCTCAGAGTGTCCCATCTCAACACCCAAGTCCGACCGGGTGCTAGAAGTTTCCGGTTGGTGCAGTGATCTTGAGACGCACCGCCGGCGAAGATCTTTTGGTGTTTTTTCTGCCACGTGGGGATCACCTCTACGCTGTGCCCTTGCTCCCAAGACCTGCAGACCACCTGTCGAGATTCAACATTCACCTCTGCACCGTCTTCGACGGCCCCGCGGCCCTGAAGCATTGGATGACGGAGGATGCGGGTCGGAAGCTGAGGTTCATTTCAAGGATCTGCATACCTGTGCACGTTTAACATGACTCAGAGGGCTAATTAGGACGCATCGCCACGTGACTGACAACACAGCTATCTGCTTAGAGAGATGTTCGGTGTTGCTTGCACGCACCCCCTGCGCGCATGGGCGGAGAGGGTTTCGGGAGTTAAGTGCCCGGACATAGTGCACCACCCTCCAAGGCCCGGAGATCTACGGAGATATGGATTGTTGAACTGCGCCGTGCTGGGTTCTGGTCCAGCTTAGGTTTCTGCGTACAGAGCAACTCGGCTCGCTGTTCTTTTCTCCCTCGCCAAGGTATGAAGTCGTTCTTCCAGGCGCAAAGCCATCCAGGGAGCCTGGAACACATCAACACCTCTGTGTGAAGTGTGGCAATAACATTGGCAACAATGAGAATGCATGCTCCCCATCATGTACTTGATAATTGTGTTGACGCAGTTGATGGTGAGGATTTTACTACATTAGCTATCTTGTACCAGCAGCAACGACTGCAATCATGACTACTGTGCTTAGAGCCGTGCCAATATCCCATCTGATTCATCCTAGGACACGAGCACGAGCGCGATCGCAGACGCGAAACACCAACACTCATCATCAGCAGCAGCCAGGCAGCAGCACCAGCAGCAGCACCAGCAGCACCAGCAGCACCAGCAGCACCAGCAGCACCAGCAGCACCGGCAGCAGCAGCAGCACCAGCACCACGGCCACAGCCGCAACCGCAGCTGGGGCCCTACCAGCACCAGCCCCGGCCACGGTGGCGACCTCCACTGCCACCGCTGCCCCTACTGCCCCTGCCACTGCCGCTGCTTGTTCATCTCGTGTTGGCAGTGCAGTAAGAACACCCAACCCGAGCCCATAAACCCGTTTCCCGACTCCGACTAGACTTTTAGGGCCGTAGGTCCACACTTCGCAGAAGTGGTACCAGAAGCAAGACCAGGAGCTTGCTGCGCCAATGCCTCAGACTGTGTGGTTTTGTCGGGCATCTCCGGAATGAGGTGTGATGCAGCTTTCGCGTTTGTTCATTGGGATTTGCGCTCGGGACTTGGGGGAGCCTTGTTGGGCATGCGGCCGGGAAGTGCACTGCCCGCCTTGACGAATTGATGAACTCTGGGCGCCAATGCCGGGGTCTTAGGGGGTCATGAGAGTCATTCCAGGAGCGGTGCAGCTTAGGTTCTTGCAATCTCCGGTCTGCAAGACGTTGAGGCTGGCCTCGGGTCTTTCTTGTTCACGCATATGTCGGTATTACTGGGAAAGCTGTGTCCCAAACTTGGGTCTAACTCTACCTTTGTTGCCGAGTGCGATGGGAACTTCTTCACTAATATATGGACAGTCTTGTCGGAAGAACAGCAAGCTTTGAACTTTTCAAATCGAGCAATGAGACAGCCTCCGTACCGTACTGTGTTGTACCGCACTGTCCTGTATTATCATGTTTTGCCTAGTAGCAGAGCATCGCGAAGCACAGTATAGTATACATGATAGCGGTAGAAGTCGAAACGGACTCTTTGAGAGACAGCTAGTGTAGTCTTTGAATATCCGCAGATGAGAAGCACTCGCTACTCATGCCATCTCGAGACGCGGGCATAGGAAATGTTGATGCCCATTTTGCAAGTCTGACATGCACAGGTGGACTGGAATGAGAATGAATGAGTAAGCCGCGGGCTCAAGATTCGATTCAAGATGAATCCAGACGAGATTGATGAGCTGTTCATCACCGTGCGGGATGGCGAGCTGGCCGAGGCAAGAGAAGCTTTGGAGAAAGCTGACATGAGTTGGCTTCACAGCGCCTTTCAGCAGAACATGCTGTTTTTTGTGGCAGCACGTCGTCGCCGCGGGTGCGAGCTGCTGGCCAAAGACTGCATCCGCAGGGGAGTCGACCTTGCGCAGATCGACGCTCAACGACAGACGCCTTTGTTCTGGGCCGCAGCGCGCGGCAACCTGCAAATGGTTAAATTCCTCATAGGCCTCGGAATGGAAATAAACTTCCGCGACGCTTGCAGAAAAACGGCTCTGTTTTTCGCGATTTCGAACAATCACTTGGAAGTTGTGAACCACATGATCGAACAAGGAGCGTCGCTCGACATTCAGGCCGTTGACAGAACGAAGCCTCGCACATTACTGAAGTCGATGAATGTCGCGATTCCTGATCGTAAACGAAAGCTCTGGTGCCCAGACCCCAAAACCGCTTGTCCTGGAGCCTCTACAAGATGCACGTTTGCAGTTTGGGAGTGGGGCGATGAGGAGAACGAATGCGAACCGGTGATAGCCAAATCAGCTGAGCATGTCGTCTTGGAAACCACCGAGTATCTCGGCAGTTGAGTCTAGTCGTTTAACGCTTGCGGATACGAGTGAATGTGTATATACACGTGGTGAGTTCTCTAAATTAGGGTCCGCTTTTGGGTCTTCATCTTAATACGGCACCTCATATAGTGGACCCAAAACGGCACCATGATTTTGGCAACTACCCCCGTGCGCATATACATTTATATATATATATATGTGTACGTGTATATGTGTGTATAATGTCTAGCATTATATTTGTGTCGATGTGTTTATATATGTGTGTATGTAGATGTAGATGTAGATGTAGATGTAGATGTAGATGTAGATGTAGATGTAGATGTAGATTGAGATGGATATGGATATGGATATGGATATGTATATGTATATGTATATGTATATGTATATGTAAATGTATATGTATATGTAAATGTATATGTAAATGTATATGTATATGTATATGTATATGCATATGTATATGTATATGTATATGTATATGTATATGTATATGTATATGTATATGTAGATGTAGATGTAGATGTAAATGTAGATGTAGATGTAGATGTAGATGTAGATGTAGATGTAATTGTATTTGTATTTGTATTTGTATTTGTAGTTGTAGTTGTAGTTGTAGTTGTAGTTGTATGTGTATTTGTATTTGTATTTGTATTTGTATTTGTAGATGTAGATGTAGATGTAGATGTAGATGTAGATGTATCTGTATCTGTATCTGTATCTGTATCTGTAGATGTAGATGTAGATGTAGATGTATATGTAGATGTAGATGTATTTGTATTTGTATTTGTATTTGTAGTTGTAGTTGTAGTTGTAGTTGTATTTGTATTTGTAGATGTAGATGTATCTGTATCTGTATCTGTAGATGTAGATGTAGATGTAGATGTATATGTATATGTAGATGTAGATGTAATTGTATTTGTATTTGTATTTGTATTTGTAGTTGTAGTTGTAGTTGTAGTTGTAGTTGTAGTTGTATGTGTATTTGTATTTGTATTTGTATTTGTATTTGTATTTGTATTTGTAGATGTAGATGTAGATGTAGATGTAGATGAATCTGTATCTGTATCTGTAGATGTAGATGTAGATGTAGATGTAGATGTATATGTATATGTATATGTATATGTACATGTATATGTATATGCATATGTACATGTATATGTAAATGTATATGTATATGTATATGCATATGCATATGTATATGTATATGTATATGTAGATGTAGATGTAGATGTAGATGTAGATGTAGATGTAATTGTATTTGTATTTGTATTCGTGTTTGTAGTTGTAGTTGTAGTTGTAGTTGTATGTGTATTGGTATTTGTATTTGTATTTGTATTTGTAGATGTAGATGTAGATGTAGATGTATCTGTATCTGTATCTGTAGATGTAGATGTAGATGTAGATGTATATGTATATGTATATGTATAGGTATAGGTATGGGTATAGGTATAGGTATAGGTATAGGTATATGTATATGTATATGTATATGTATATGTATATGTATATGTATATGTATATGCATATGCATATGTATATGTATATGTATATGTATATGTATATGTATATGTATATGTATATGTACATGTATATGTACATGTATATGTATATGTATATGTATATGCCTGGGTGTGTGGGCGTATTCATTGTTATGTGTGTTTATACGCAACATGAGCATACTTATTGAGGTTTCAATATTTTTGGGACGTTTTGCTGGACAACTCAGGTACTTTGTGACCGACTGCTTGCGTGACTGCTCGAAGCGCTTGAGGCGTTCTGAGCGCGAGTTTTGTGGAGATCATGCACATCTCCACCAACATCAACACTGGTACAAGGATTATGGGATCCTTAAGGGGTTCTAAGGGGGAAGGGTACCATGAAACCTTAGGGAGCCTTAGGGAGCACTAAGGAGGAGAATAAGTTATTGGGTTTTTATGATCATATACGCTCCTTGAAACCCCCCCTCCTGATGAAAGGAGCTGAAGACCGAGGAAGCTGCCAGCCTCGTGAACACGCCTGTGGAAGCCAGCAATGACCACCTGAAGCTGATAGAAGCGTGCGCGACCGGGGCTCAGCTTTCTGCCTTCACACTGGCAGCTGTTTCGCAGAAATCTCGGACAGTGGCCGGCTACATCCATGCGGGGCTTGCGGACAACAGCAACACACTTAAGATTAAGCACGTCAAAGCAGACCGCCCCCACCAGGGCAAGGGACTTGGTGGCCTGTTGATTCAGGCTGCCGAGAAGTGTGCTAAGAAGCTCTTTTCGGGCGTGTCAGAGATGACACTAAGCGTGCTTGACAGCAATGAGCCTGCCAAGCGGTGTTACAAAAAGGCGGGTTTCAAGGTCGCCTTTTCGACCCCGTCCAAGTTTCCGCCAAGCAGCCATCACAAAATCAAATGGTTGCGGATGGAGAAATCTGTGAAGTGAAAGGACGTTTCAAAGCTTCACCTTGGACTGGCAGGACCTGCAAAAGCAAGCTGGTTTTCGCTGTTGTCGCACAGGGTTTGTTCATGTTTGGGAAACCGAGGGACAGCAATGCGTGCTGATCAAAGAACCATGTCGTTTTGGATCCTTTACTTATATTGGCCATGTCTCAGGTCGGAGATTGACGGTTTTGGCTTTTTCCGATAGGATGTGGGCGTTCTGGTTTCTGGATGTTTGAGGACTTGGACTACGGTGTGCGTTCCTTCCGTTTCTTCGTGCGTGCGTGGGTGCATATCTTTTCTGCTGTATCGTTACTCTTACGGCTACGGTCTTGCAATTGCGACTATGGTTGATGTTGGCAGCAGCGTGGCTGAATACTTTCTAGTAGGTTCGTGTTTTGATCGTCATTGCCATCATCAAAGCATGTAAGCCTCCGTGGCCTGAGCATTTCAAAACGTTGTTTACAGCCGCAGTTGCTAACGGCACCGAAAAATTCCGAAAATGCACTGATAGTCAGGCCGAAGGTAGTCAGATAGTAGCCAATTCATAGCGATGAGGCGCAAGATGTTTTTTTCAGATACTTTTCATTCTCTTGTTGATGCCCTTGCGATGAGTTGTGCTGCTACACGGCAGAGTTCCCGATTTTTTTTGCAGTTCGGAATAGCTCGCCGGTTCAGGACTCGTGACTCGTAGCGCAGGGTCTCGGGTTATGGGTTGTGAACAATGTAAAATTCCGTGGCAGTTGTGTATTCGCACAGTCCTGAATGCACATCAAACTTTTTTCGGTGCAAATGTCGGGCCTCGGGACATATCTCTTCAGTGAAAGCCCAACTAGTTAGCCAAGGCTGAAACTCGTCAAGAACCATCACTGCCTGTAAAGCATCTCCTGCAGTCGAACGGATGCTCTGATCGCAGTGATTCCCCTCATCCCAACATTTGGGAGCCCGAAACGCGGCCCACTTGCAAACCCTTCGTTCTTGTCTTTTGCAAACAGCCCACGAAAGGAATCATCCTTTGGAACAGCTGCGGCCTGCCGTGTTCCACGAGTTTTTAGGACGCCCTAGCACATCCTGAGGCAGGCGGCCGAGAAAGAAGGCCTAAACCTCCAGAACTGCGAGCCGGGACAGGCGATTTGGTTTTGTGGGACTCGAGAGCTTCCGAAGCGTTCGCTTTAGGTTCGTGGGCTTGAGGTTCATTGGGTTGAGGGTTTTGATGCAAAGGATGTGAGGATGTAAGCATTGTACGAGCCCAGCACAAGGCATTGCGGTCAGAGCCGTGTTTGAGCTATTTTGAAGAGCCAAACGCTTGATCAGCCAATGTGTCTTCCCTTGTCGACGGTTCTGAAGCACTGTCTGCACTGCAACGAAGCATCTTTCGATGTTGGAACAAGCCTTGTGCTTTCGTGTTTGCATGCGTTTGTGAGTTTCGACGCAGGAAATCAAATCATGGAACCACCAAGTAGACTTGAACGTTCAAGCGACGTGCGGGAGGGATATCCTTTACATGTAAGTAGCAATTCCGAGCAGCACAGAAATCCGACATCCGAGTATGTCCAAAGCATCTTAGCAACTTGGGCAACAAGAGTCGGCACTATGAAAGATTGTTTCAGCATGCGCATTGTGGACCCTGCAAAACCGTGCGAAACCGCAAACCTGACAAGCTTCAGAGGTGTACCACCTGGAGATGGTTGAAGCGGATGCCAAGGACCTTCTTCACGGCTTGTGGGTGTTGTTGGGGTTTTTCTCCGACGTTTTGGCTGGTTGACACCTGGGTCATGCCCAAGGTTCTGTGCTCCAGACCGCAAGTACCAGTACGGCTGGGGGATTCGAGCTTTCCCACTCTTCCATCATATTTGTACTCCTGATGTCGGGTGTTACTACTATTGCTTAGTGTTTTGTGCCAGTAGTTCACCATCATCCTTGCATCCTTCATCATCAGCATCATCATCATCGTCTTAGTCAAAAAATTCTGGCGGCCACTGTCGCCTTAGTAACAGTATCCTTATTGTCAGCTGGCTTGGGTGATGCCTACGAAACGTACCGACACCCTCGGGTTGGCAGGAGCGCTTGGCAGCCCTATCCGAGACACCGCCCTTGGCTGTGATTTGCATCAAGTCGAAGGACGCGGTTCGTTCCGGGACAGCTTTGAATTGCAAAAATTGCCCTGAGCACGCAGAACCAAAGCCCTGCCGGAGGAGCAGCTGCGGTGGTATGTTCCGATCACGGCACAAGTGGAGCCGAACCAGGACGTGCCAGCTCAAGACTAGAACTCTGAAAGCAACTGTTTTCTCTATCTTCTGCGTTGCCGTGGTGGAAGTTGATGTAACCGCGCCGCAAACTTTGTCAAACTGTTGAGGCTCCCCACCCTGTTGTAGAATCAGTTCTTAAGCTTTGCAAAGACGTCAAGGAAACGTCTCCTCGTAGTAGCAGTAGTAGTAGCGTAGCAGTAGAAGCAGAAGCGGCAGCAGTAGTAATTAGTAGTAGCAGTGGTACTATTACTAGTACCAGTGCCAGTACTAGTACTAGTCCTAGTACTCGTACCAGTGCCATCACTAGTACTATCACTAGCACTAGCACGAGCAGTCGGAGTCGGAGTAGGCGTCGGAGTCGTAGCTGTTGTCGTCGCAGTCGTCGTCGTCGCCATCGTCCGAGTCGTAGTCGTAGTAGTCGTCGTGGAGGTGGTGGTGGTTGTGGCGGCGGCAGTGGCAGTGCTACCTGATAGGGAAGGAGGAGTGAGAGTGGGAGTATGCAGAGTAGTAGGAGTATTAAGCCGTGTTAGTGGCAGTGGCAGTGGCAGTAGCAGTCGCAGTCGCAGTCGCAGTCGCAGCAGCAGTAGTAGTAGTCGTAGTCGTGGTAGTAGTCGTAGTCGTAGTCGTAGTAGTAGTAGAAGAAGAAGAAGCAGAAGTAGAAGTAGAAGCAGCAGTAGGAGTAGCTGTAGTAGTAGTCGTCGTCGTAGTAGGCTTAGGTTTAGGGTTCGGGGTTTTGGGTTTAGGGTTCAGGATTTGATTTAGTGTAGGTGCAGTAGTGGTAGGAGTAGTAGTAAAAGTAGCAGCAGTAGTCGCAGTCGCAGTCGCAGTCGCAGTCGCAGTCGCAGTCGCAGTCGCAGTCGCAGTCGCAGTCGCAGTCGCAGTCGCAGTCGCAGTCGCAGTCGCAGTCGTCGTAGTAGTTTAGTAGTAGTAGTAGTAGTAGTAACCAGTAAACTTTAAGCCTTTAAGCAGCTGTAAGAACCCGAAATACCCGTTGCAACCCACAGTGTCCCCTGCCACCTGTTACAGTGCATGCACAATCCGAAACCTCAGCGCAGAATTTTGTTGTGTACATGCAGCAGGACCAGAAGACAAGCATGTAAGCACAAGCGACAGTGCATTCTTGAGATCAGCCCATTGGCGAAGCCCAAGTCAAGCCCAAGCGTTTTCTGCCGAGGAGTCTGTTGTGACATCAGATCAACTCGGTGGGCTCCCCCTAAACCCTAAACCCCCTAAACGCGGAGTTGGGTAAAATGCTGTCAGGACCTTGCGGGCCAGAACCGATGCCATGAGCCATCGCCCCAGAAGAACGGTTGCGCCGCAATGAGCGGCAGTGGCCAAGAGAGTACTATAGGATTTGGGGCCCATTATATAAGTATAATTAGGAACCCCCAGAATAGTATTGGTAATTATTTAGGCCCCTATAATTACTGGCGCAGCTTTCTTGGTCTTGCGTCTTATATCTTCCAAAGCAAGTGGTTATCAGTATGAGCCAGTGTCTCGAAATCAGTAGAATCCCATCCCTGCTGTCGCATCCCAGATCTTCACTGAAGACTTGGCCCTGGAAATAGGGCATTTGGGGTATATCATGCTGCAATTCTAGCAAGGAACCACCAAAATAACATAGGTAATTATTAGGGCCCCTATGTTACAGAGATGCTACTCCATGCCAAGTCCCACATCCCGGAGCTCCGAGCTCAGGTTCCGCTTCATGTTCCGAGGGGCCGTGGCAGCCCGAGAGACGTGAAGCTGCGAAATGAAGAATCCTAGGCTTCGGGATCCTATGGAAGAGGCTTCGGGACCCTGTGGAAGAATTACTGTGGCTATCGCAAGGATGAGCCGTTGAGGGGGCTGAATTTAGAGGCCTTCCTCTGCTCACCCGATCCGAACATAAATAATTCGGAACTCCAAAGATGTCTTGGGACCTGGAGATGGCTGTGTGACTCGTACGGACTCGCACGAACGTGCAGCTGCATCTGATGTAAAGCCGGAAGCCGGGAATCAGGTTCAAAAGCTGCGCCACGTTCAGACCATGGGCTACCGGCCCTGCATCATTTGGCTGCCGGCGGCCGAGATGTTGCTGGAGAACTGGGTTGTGAAGATGTGCAGCGCTTTTCACGTTTTCTTCCATGCTCAGGCACTCCAGGCAGCCGACATGTCAGCAGCATTTAATCCTAGACCTAACTACATAAGGCTTCAAGCTGCGTTCCTCACAGAAGATCCCACGACAGGCTCCAAAAACCGCCCGAGTGTTACTTTATGGAGTTTTAACACAATACTCTGCCAGACGGGCACCGGTACACTTCATTCGCATGCATGCAATCATGTGATGAGGTCGTGCTTAACTTCTCCGTGTGTCTGTGTTTCTTAGATCAGATTCAATACACATCTTGATCATTCTCCCTTCACTCGCCTTGTCATCTGCAAGGGTGAGCTTGATGACACGGTAACATTGATGTCACCATCAAACTCCATCAGTGTGTGTGCACACAGATGAAGTGGGCCGAACAGACGGGTCACCTTGTCATTCATCTCATGTGCCAATCTTGGCATTAGGATTGTGCACAGATGAAGACCTTGGGTGGCCGGGGTTGCTCGGTATGGAAGCACTGTCATGTGTCTCGAGTCACGGCTGCAAGTCTGCCGGAGGTCTGAGTGGAATCAGTTGGACACAGAGGCACCTTCGAAGCGGTGTGAACTGAATTGTACAAGCATGCCTGCATAGTTGCCGTCAACAGCATAGCCGCAACTGCAGTACTACCTCCACATTCCGAAACACTTCCGTCTTGCAGCGCAGGCGGCGCGCAGGGAATACTTGCGCGCAGCAGTCGCCGACTACGTGGCTTTCACACCGTCAGCCGTCCAGGCCGGCCAGAGATCAGAGCAGCCCCGCTGGATAACTGCAGAAAAACCCAAGCCCCATTTCCTTGAATCCATCTTGAATCCTGAACAGTCATCGAACACTTCACAGGCCAAAAAACCAAAGCCTTGAAGCCTCAAACCCGTGCTGGCTACGTGTTACGGGGAGGTACTTGGAAGCCTTAAGCCCACCTCATCCGAAGCCTTATCCTTCCAAACTCGAAGCGAAACTGAACACGAAAATCCAATTCTCCTTTCGCTGCTGCTTTCCTCCAGGCAGACGACATTTATCGCTGATGCGGTATGGATTCATAAAGAGGAGAGGATTAACCTTTTATTTGGTGTGGATTTCTGTTTAGATTTATTTCTCTCAACCCAATCCGTCCCATGCTAGAGATTCAAAGACTATCTGGGTCATATAATTTGCGTCTGTATTTCAAGTGAAGGTAAGTTTTTAGATCAAATATTTATGAAATAATTCTCCACATCTCTGAGGGGTTTATACTTTTACTGTCGCCCTCCGACCGCTTTCTTTCGCTCCCTCCCTCCCTCCTTCCCTCCTTTTCTTCCTCTTCTCTCTCTTCTCTTCTCATCATCCCTCCTAACATGCAACATGCGACAGAGAAGACATGCACAAACAACAGATTTAGCGCGATAGGCACAGAAATATACGACACCCCAACACTTCTAATTCTCACAATACCCACAACACTCACAACACTCGTAACTTCCACAACACCAATAGCACTTACAACACTTACAATACTCGCAACACCTACAATACTCATAACACATACAACATACACAACACCCTCTCTATCTGTAGATACGATTAAATGCTGATTCTAGAAGGTTGTGCGGGTTCGTGTAAGGGACGGCGTCAATTTGGGGATTTTTTAAAGATGATCACGATAATTAATATTATTAGTCTTTCGTCTCTATTATATTGGTAGTATCTTGTGGTCGCGTATATAAACTCATAATTTTGGG